CCGGCTTGCCCTGGCCCTTCCCCGCCGGGACCCCCGAGTCGTTCTGATGGAAGACCCGGGCTGATCCGGTGCTTTTGGGCCCGGGTGAATGGGCGCGATGGCCCAAGTAAAGCGGGCAAGACCGGGGATCTGTCGGGGGAGCAATCGCGTCTGAGGAGGGCGGGGAGAACCCCGACCTCTCCACGCCCTGGAAGCCCCCAGCTGGGAGGGGCAGCGAGGAAAGCCCTCCAGGCCGAGAAGGAAAAGACCCACCCCAACAGACCCAGTTTGGGAGCAGAAAAGCTTCTGGCCGGCCTCCTCCGCCTGATCCTTCCGAAGAAGCTGCTCTTCAATTCCAGGATGTTCTCCCCGGTTTTGAAGTCCTCCCTTCCCCTTCCTTGCTCTGGCGACAGGAGCTGCCTTTGGCCGAGCAGAAAACAAAGGCGTTCCCTTCTTTGTGGAAATCATCCTGTCTAGCTGCCATTAAAATATTGGGAATTGGAGATTTTTAGACACGTATTTACTATAGAATTTAGGAATAATAATAATGATGATGACGGTTGATTAAACATGTATACCATAGTGGCTGGTTAATTCTGGATCTTAGGGACAAATATCTTTGGGGTTGAGGTCAACTTCTGCAACTTCATGGACACATCTGTGTAATTTTGGGGGAGAGAAATAGTTTGACCCAGTCTTTTTCGAGAGTGTTGCTTCCACTTCCTGGTCCGGCCTCCAGCCTGGCTTCTCCTAGTGGCCTCCCATCCAAGTCCCAATCAGGTCCAACCCCATGAGGTTGGCCAGGAGCTGCTGCTATCAGAGTCCCAACCTCCCCCCTCTCTGCACTGGAGTCTTCCTCAAACCTGCATATCATTGTGGTGCAATAAAACTCCAAGCAGTGAATACAGAAAATGGTGTTTGGTGTCTTTCCTGCCTAAATCCAAATCAGACTTGGTCAGGAGGGTTGGGACTGGGGCTCCCAGAATTCCCAGTTAGCATAGCCAAAGGCCAGGCCTGCTGGGAATTCTGGGAGTTTTGTAGTGCCAACAGGTCTGGAAGCTGACCCTGCAGAAACTGAACCAAGATGGCAAAATCTTCGACTGGGAGGTGGGGAGGAAAAAGAAGGCAGCCTGTTTAGGTGTGTCCAAAAGAGCCCAGCAATTCCCCCGGCTTCAGTAAACTAAACGTACAATTTCCCAAAAAAAGGCTGTGCTGGGGCACTTTTGGCAGATTAAGCCAGGAACTGCAGTCTTGCAAACATGTTGAGAGTTTTGCAGTGTTGAAATAGTCTTTCGGTCATTGCAGGAAGTCGAGAGGAAGCAGCCCTGGGAGAGGTTTGCTCCCTCACTCACTCCCTCTCTCGCTCACATTTTCTCTCTCTCTCTCTGGTGGGTGATCCAAGCATGTAGCTGGAGAAAAGGTGAAAGCTATGCTACGCCCCTCTGGGGGCGGTGAGGATCGGCCCTCTGGGGCTCCCCAACACACAACGGTTGTGCAGGTCGTGAATTGGGGGGCTGCCTTTGAGGAACTTCCAAGCAAACTCTTTCTTGGCTCTTTTGTCCAGGAGAAGGCTTTAGCTGCTGTCACCTGGCTGGCCTACCTTAGAGGGTTGTTGTGAAGAATGGAATGAGAATATTTGGCCCTCTGCCCTGCAGAGATGGAACTCAACCAAGGCCTGCTGGTTTGCAGAAAGATAGACCTGGTTGTTACCAGCAACCACAGTGTCAGAGGAGATGCTTTAATAAACATGATCCTGTAACCTTTAAGGACATGAATATGTTCAGCGGACACCTTGCCAAACTTGGCTTGTGCATATGTGTGTGTGTTTCTGTGTTCACGCATGTGTGCAAGGGGCAGACAACAATGTCTTTCTCCTCAGGGCCCATTTTGCCGCTGGGGCTCCCTCCCCCCATGGAAACTGGTCCCGCATGGAAGGGAGGCTAACTGCCCCCCAAAACAGAGGATCACCAGCCTCCGGATGGGAGGACCGGCTCAAAGCCCAGCCTCTCCAGATAGACCAACCCTCCCCACACGGGTGCCCTCCAGATGGGTGGGACTGGATATCCCATCATCCCTAGCTAGCATGGCCCTTCCTAGGATGATGGGAGTTTAAGTCATCAACTGCTGGAGAGAAAGGCTGGTGAAATTTATTTCAGGCTCAAGCTGGAAACTCTGGGCATCCTTGGGAAGGCACTTGGAGAGGTGGGGGGGTCTGGAGGGGCCAAGGGCCTCCCCAGATGAGGCGGCTTCATGTGGGGGGCTGTGCCTGGAGAAAGAGGCCCCCAGTGCTTGGGCAGAGCCCTGAGAGGCTTCAGCCTGTCTTGCATTTGGCTCCTTCCAACCTCCCGGTTCTGGAAGCAGCCGCCATTTCGTTTGCCAGGGATTCTCCAGGCCCACGGAGGCCGGGTTCACACAGCAGATTTAACCGGGCCAGTGGTACACCTGGGAGGTGCCTTTGCACAACCTTCTCACACCAGGTTAGTGGCAACCTTGGTGAATTTTCCCTTCTAGGACTCAAGTGTTTTGTGTGTGAATCCCCCTGTTTGCACAAGATGCTGAACCATAATCTAACCAGTCTCTGAAAACAAACAAGGTTAAGCCTGTTGTGAACCCAGACAGGAAAGAGAATATCTGAGGGAGCCGCTAAGGCGGCAGAAAGGCAGTTTCCAGAGACTCACCCAGCAATTGGAAGGTCCCTCTAAGGACCTTATAAATAGAGACCTGTGAAAGGGAGGCAGAATCTCACTCCTCTTCCCCACAGGCACGGCCTAATTTCCACTCTGTATATGCTCAGTGGAAGGCTGACAGCACAAGGGAGCAGGAGATGGTGCATACTAACTACGATCATAACCGCCGAAGGAGGGAACTGCCAGCTTAGTTTATTGCGGGAGACCCGAGGAGCGCTGAAGCTTCGTGAAGATTCATGTCTGGGCCGGAGAATGACAAGAAATGGGGGATTATTGGGGTTCTTTGCACCCCCGGCCTTTTCCCAGAGGAGAGACGCGTCTTTGCTTTTAAGAGGCCGCGAGAGCCGCTGGGCGTTTGGAGCAGAGCCAAGTTCACTCGGGGTTTCCTTCCCCGCCTGCGCGGTCCAAAGGGACGCAACCTCCTGCCTGCGCCCCTCCCCCTCTGCCCGGCCCGGATCAGCCTCGCGCTTTTTGAATCCCTGGAAGGCGATTTTCGATTTTCCGAAAGGAACTTTCGCTTTCCTTTTTCGCCTCTCTTGCACGCTGTGCCTGGACGTCTGCCTAGCTACCAGACACGACACGGGAATGCTTTTTTCCTGCTGGTTAGTCCTGGCCAATCGCCTGCTCGCTCTAGATTATTGTGGTGTTGCTCCCCCGCTGCGTCTCCTTCTTTGCCCGCGACTGAAAGGGGGGGGAGCGCAGGTGGAGGTTTGCGGACAGGATGGCTCTGCGCTCTGCGCCCCTGTTGCTTCTGGCGCTGGTGGCGGTCGCCCTTCCGGAGAGCTGCTTCGGTGAGTCCTTTCGGGGGCGTCGGGGTTCCAGACCCTTTTTCTGCTGGTGGGAATTCAGGGAATCTCTCTCTCTCTCTCCCCTCTCCCCAAAAGATGATCCCCAGAAAGAGAACCCTGATTCGGTCCTCTCTCTAGTCCGCTCCCCCTCCAGGTCTTGCCACTGTCAGAACGGGCCCCAAAGCGTGGGTGGGGCTCTGCTGCCGCTCTTACCCCTCCCAGGAGAGCCACTCCGGGGACAGGTCAGGGGTCCCCCCCAGCTGCCAGCCGAGTCTCCCTGGGCGCCCCCG